GTCTTGTCTTGTCTTGTCTTATCTTACCTTACCTTACCTTACCTTACCTTACCTTACCTTACCTTACCTTACCTTATCTTATCTTATCTTATCTTATCTTATCTCATCTTACCTTTTCATATCATGTTATGCCAAAGTATATCTATCATGCTGTAGTACTCTGTTGAGATTAATAATTAGTAGGTTACATTACAAATGATTTGAATACAGCACGTGACCCGCATCGTGAGCAGGATCCTCAATCATGATCATGATTATGTTCACGTGTATTGTTTATCATGAAACCCCGGTAGTTTAAACCAAAATCTAAACCAAACAAGCACAAATCGCCACAAAATCCCGCAGCCCCTGCCCCCCTAAGAAAGCTTCAGAAGTGTTTGAGGTGTGGCTGGGATCTCGCAGAGTATCTCACATCTCCTGCGGCCCAAGACCTTCACGACGGTAGAGGCCGAGGTTAGAGGTTTTGTGGTGTATGGTTCTGTGATTACGAGAGGTTTTTTTTGGACATGGTTTCCCAACAAATACAGCTCTGGCCTAGTTTCGGGTGTAGGGTTTGATGGGGTTGTATACGGATGATGTATAAGGACATTACAATTCCGTCAATTTGATTCCTTGCAGTCTTGCATTAACTATACCGAAACCCAAATCGAGTTATGAAGGCCCCTACAGTAGGCAGGCCAAGCCCACACGCTGAGGCTCCGGCGAGAGTTGTCCTCCGTAGGATCTTGAATTCACAACCTTATCTCACTGAACCTTGAACCCTACTTAAAATTAAGACTCAAACCCAGAACGCTTAATGCCTCAAACCACTAAAGCATTCCCTATACTTTGCTTTTATGGTGTGAGGGGATTAAGTCGTGATTGAAGTTTATGGCAGTAGTAGCTTCCGAAAAGTTTAGCTGCTAAACCGCAAAACTCATAAACCCTAAATCCCTAAACCCTAAGCCCCTGAACCTTCGAAGGACCTGCCGGCGGAGCCCGAGGTTCAGAAGCAGAGGGTTGAAACCCTGCGTCTGAGGTGGGCTTGCGGGTTGAGGGAGAGGTTTGGATTTTCGGATTTGGGGAGGTGCAGGGTTTAAGAATGTTTATTAAGGGTTTAGCGCTTAGGATTTACAGAGAGGAAGCAGGGTTAAGGCCAAGGGTTCAGAGTTTAGTTTAGGGTTTAGGGAGATTTGAGGGGGAACGGGGTTCTTGGAAGGATGATTCAAGGAGCTTGATAGGTGTTCTACAAGGTGCGGTTTGAGGGGTGTTGGATGTTCTTCCGCAGGGTTAACTGAGGGTTCTGGGGTGAAGGTTTAGTGGGTTGCTTGCAGGGTTTGGGCAAATTCGATCTTTGGTGCTTAGACGTCTGGCTCGAGCCCGACGTTCGCAGCGCCGCCGTATAGCGCCGTATAACACCACACCCCGCCCCCTCCCCCTCCCATTCAGAAGGAAAAGAGGCCAAGACCTCGGCTTCCTAGGCTGTAAGCCATGGGCCATGCCACACTTAAATAAAACCCTCAACCGTGGCCCTCTTGTTCCGAAGCTTTCCTGCAGCCCGGTGTGAAGATCCCTCTCCCCACCTTAAACCACCAACTTCATGCGCTACTTGAGCGAACAGACGGCTCATAATCTGATCATCCGTAATCCCTAAAAGCTCCACGGCTCGCAGAACCCCAAAGCAGGAAAGAGCTGGACGACTTGAAGCAGAGTAAACTGCAAGCCGAAGCACGCTTGCTCTCCCAACGTGTCGAGGATGCTCGGGCGAAAACATCACTACTTTTTCCTTGTGGGTGCTTTGTATATGGTTTGTTTACATGAGGCGGCTGCAACAAATCAGGCTGTTTTCGTTTTGAAAGAGCCGTGAACCCCCCTTGCTCTCGCAGCTCAATTTTTCAGCTGCGCCATACTTTTGATGTCCTTGTCTACTAGCTAAGTTCGCATTCCTTTGAACCTGCTTTCCAATTTGCATACCTTTGAAACTGTTGTCCAAGCCTTTTTCCAAAACAGTTTCCCTGATGGCGATGGAGAAAAGCCGCAAAACCAAAAGAACACCCCAAACTTCCCAAACCCAAGACCCCAATAAACCCGAACTTCAAAGAGCACCAAGAACTTCTGAAGCAGACGCGGCAACAACTCTGGAGGGGGCTAAAGAGCAACTATCGGAAGAATCGAAGACCCTTCATGAAAGCCTAGTCTAACTCAGATCAGGGCACCTTTCCTCAACCATTCTTATTGCTGCAATTATCTCAATGATTCATCCAGTATCTTTGAACTCTTGGTTTTCGGTATTTTCATCACGCAAGCGAATGCCATCGTCGCAGTCTCAGACGCAGCTCAGGAGCTGTCGAGGATGGGATCGCTTCCGATGGACTTGGGCGAGGCCTCGCCTGGGAGTTCCGATTCCGAACCCGCTCCGCGTGTCCTAGGCTTAGGGTTTAGGGTTTAGAGTTTAGAGTTTAGGGACAGGGATGGCATGGTTTTGAGGGTTTGGGGTGGGTTTGGGGTGTAGGGTGGTGCAGAGATTGAGGCCTTGAGGGTTTTCTCAGGTTTAGGCTTCAGTGGGTTTGAGGCTTAAGGGGTTTGGGGTATGGCTTCTTAGTGCAAAAGGATTTGTTCTTGGCAGGATTTGGATGTGGATTTCAATGGGTTCTGTAGAATGTCAGCAGTTTTGCAAGGCGGTGGTGCTGTGCTGCTTCCTTCTCATTCTCGTAGTCACAGGTTGTTTGCAGCTTTTGTTCATGGAGTGTGCGGTTTGGAAGGTCATGGTTTACCGCTTCTGGTTGGATGTTGAGAGTCACGTAGTAGTAAAGCCTTGCAATCCGTTGAGACCAAGGCCTGCAGAGCTAGGAAAGCAAGGCCCAAGCCACCAAATCTCGACCCCAGTCTGTCAAATCCGTGTTGTAACGACACCCACGGGGAAGAAGTGCCCTTTACACGTAAAGCCGCCGTGAAAAGACCGGTTGCAGGAACCCCTCGCGCACCATGACTTGGTCGCAGGGGATCCGGTGATCCACGGCTGTGACGGCGTAAACTGCAAATACAGGCGGGTCGACCATAAGTCCCCAAAGCCCAAGACTCTAAGCCCCCACCCCACTCCAGTCCTTACGCCTCTAAATCTCTACAGCCCTTACTAAACCCTGAAACAATTTACTGCTCTATGCTTCAGTTTAGGGGCATGCCAGGCTTCTGTTCTGCAGAGCAACGAGGCAAATCTGCAAAACGCAACATACCAATCTTCGAACCTCAGGCCAAGAACAACCGCGGCCAGTATAGTTGCCTGCATTGTTAGCGATACTACTCCTTAGGGCTCCTGATATCGTCATCGTGCAATTAACATACCCCAAAAGCCCCTGCTGCAATGGATGAAGGCCCCCCGCAGCTCGGTACGAGTTTGTGGGATATGCAAGGTGCAGTCCTTTCCGTCATGATTATAAGTCTTTTTCTCGGTGGGCTGCATGGGCTGCAGGCTCGAGGGTCTTTGGGGGCTGCACCCGGCATGCGACCATTGTGCCGTGCGGGGTGCCACTACATCTCCATCCAGGCAACGTGGTAGTTGTACAATACCCTTTCCTACAACCCAAAGTTTAGGGTTTAGTCGCCCCGAAAATCGACTATCCCGTAAGGAGCCAGAGCCTTCCTTCAAGCCCCCAACGAGAAAAAGTCCCGAAACGATAACCCTATTATAGCTGGGAATGCAGTGGTACCCTGACCCAGAAGGTCGACGCGACCATAAACAAGCGTGAAAAGTGAGGAATACAGTTGTTGGGACCATTCTTGTGTGACTTTAGCGTAATATACTCCCAAACCATATCTTCAGTATTAGGGCCCCCATACTAAGTCTTCAGAAGCACACTCAAAAGATCCTTAAAGGAATCCTAGTCTAGCTGTGTTGACCGATCGGCTGCAGGCGTGAGGCCGAAGCTGCCAAGGCTCAGCCGCAACCCCGGGTTTTCTTTATTGAGTTTTGTTGCGGTTAGGGTTTAGGGTTTAGGGTTATAATCTGGTTTTCTCATTCAGGGTTGTTTGTCTTCTTCTTTTTTGGGCGTCGCACGTGCGCTCTTAGGTCCTAAACTCTGAACCACATCATCACCGTTTCCCCAAGCCGTGGGCCAGAAAGTCTTAACTTCGGAATTAAGGTTGAGCGCCCAAAATTGCAAATTGCCTTGGTTTGGTGGTTATTGTAGAGGCCGGGAAAATGAATAGTAACTCGTACTAGTATCCCCGCATGCTCCCCTTGTAACTATAATTCCATAATTGTTAACTAGAAACCCCATTGCAATGGTTAAGGCCGCTACATTGCCTTCATTGATTGTAGATTGCGGCTTATGGTGGTGTACACTGGAGATAGGTTCCGGGCATTCGAGAAAGCAGAGTAGGTCCTTCGAAAGCAGATCTAGCAAGAAGTGTGCTCTTTTACAATAGTGGCTTTCATGTTTGTGCTTGTGTTCCTACGTTCGGGGTTACGTTTGCTTGGTTTTGACAATAATCTTGCTTGTTTGCACAAGCCGTATGAAACCTTATAAAGCATTATAAACGTCGTATAAAACCGTATGGAAGGTATGTTGCCGCTTAATGGCTACAGAGGCCTCTCGGGCTCTTTTATGAGTTGCAGGGTCTCCGCTTCCTAGCCACGCGCGCCTAAGCAAGTCGGCTTTTGGGAGCTCTCGGCAAATCGGTTTGGAGCCGTTAGCTCCAAACCCCCGTCGTCTTCAAGTCCCACGCATGGTGTTTTCATGGCCTTACTCACTCGGCCGATGCCCCCTTTGTTGCGAAGAGTCGTCCAAGATTGTTGAAAAGATGTACAGGACAGAAGCCCTCAACCCAGCAAGGTACTTCTTCGGGGTCTCATCTTCTAGATCCTTTCAGGGTTTGAAGTAGTTGGCGAGGAGATGATCAAAGCACTCCGAGCGCTGGCCGCACAGCCCTCTGGCAGCAACCATGGCTTGCAGTTTGAGTGTAAGGAAGCCCAGGCATTTGCGCAAACTAGCTAGATACGAAGTTCAAGAAGGCCGGTTTAACGATTGTTCAGCTACCGGAGCGTTTTGATGCCCTCGTTGAAGTGTCCGGGTGTTTGTCTTGTTCGGCTACGTAGTCTCTATAAGATGAAATTTGTGATGCTGTTTCCGGCTCTGGACCGCAGTTAAGCCCTTCAAAACCCTAAACCTTTACGAATCCCCCAAACCCTTTAGCCCTCCAAGTTTTTTTTTGAAAAACCCCGAAACAGGCTCCAGTCCCTGCGAATGCACAGGCGTCCCCTTGTAGTCCCTATGAAACTGCGGCATACTACACCCCCCAAAACCCTACTTCAAATATGAAGGCCCCTGACATCTTAGAGCCCTTGTAGAGAACCCCGTAAAGAGCCCTGCCAGGGAAACTTTCCCTATCTATGAAGACCCCCGATACCCACAACATTGAGCTTGCAGTCTCTGGTCCTTATGCCCTGAGCAGTGCCATAGAGCCCGTATAGCCACCCTTACAGTAACCCCTAAAGACTTTTTCAACAAAGCCTTGCAAGTGAACTCATGAAGGGAAGCCGTTTCAAGGAAAATACGGAGGGAAGGCCCCTTTTTGTTGCAGGTTGGCGGAGAAGCTGAAGCTGGCCACAGGCCAAGCCGGCCCTGACTTAGGAAGAGTTTAGGGAGGTTTCGGGCTTGGACATGGGATTCTATAAGGGTTCCCTTGCAGGTTCCTTTAAGGGTCCCTTTAACGTACGTATAAGGCCATTTTAAGTGAGATTT